GTATTCAAGAAGAAAATAGAAGGAAAATGATGAAGGGCGGTGGTGACGGGTGGTGAGAAATCCACGAGATTATTTACAGTTTGCTTCATGTATATGTTGAGTATATAGACAGTATATTTTCAGTTTATAGACATTCCACTGATTTAAAAATTGATTTAAAACAAACATAAAATATTTTTTTTTATATCTATGGTTTATATTCAGTATATTTGCGGTATATGTACAGTATATGATGGGTATATGTACAGTATATGTTAAATATATAATTTTTTCCATCTGTTTTGACGAAAATCTTCTCAGAGGGTAATTGTCGAACACTTGGTGTGCTTGATTTGTTGATAGATAGTTCTATTCTATACATATTGCGGGTATATGCTGTGGGTATATATAGTATATTTTCAGTATATGTTTCGGTATGACAATATGTATGTTTCGGGTATGAAAATTCTGTACATGATTTACATGTTACCATCAGACATGAAAATTTACACGTTGCGGGTATATACCAAAGTTGTACAACACACATATACATAAAATATACATAGAATATACATAAAATATGCATAAAATACACACTCGAGATTCACGTAATTCAAATCCGCGACACCACATATACATAAAATATACTTTAAATATACACTCGAGTTTCAATCGTTTCTCAAAATCGATTTTAGAACCCACATATACATAAAATATACCTAAGATATACACTCGAGATCACGTAAAAATTCTGAATGAAGACCGTCGGTCGACTGATTTTCGAAAAAATTCTGCTCGGCGGCGTGTGTTTCTTTCTTTTCGAAAAAATAGGAAGACATAATTTTTTGATAGAAAACATGTTTTTCATTGCAACATATACTGCAAATATACTAACATAAACCCAATATATACCACTTGACAGCTGCGTGAATTAAGGAATTCAAGTTGCGCGAATTAAGGAATTAAACGAGTCAGTTATTTTCTCTCTCTTAATCATGCCCATAAAAAGGGGGATGGAGGTGGGAAGAATATGGTAACTGACTTTAGGCATTAATATATAAATAAGGTCTAGGTATAAACATAATTATTTCAACTTCTATGGTAATATTGCAATTAATTTTAAATCACATAGCATAAATAAAAATTTCCCAAGCTATTAATCATCATATCTGCTAATTCCTGTTCTCCAGGTATAAATCGTGTAGCCATTAGGATTGCCAACTTTTTTAACTACGCCGGCATAAATCCGTAGCTTGATAATTCATTAAAATACAGAATTAATACATATAACACCAGCATGCTCGCCTCGCCTTGTAAAAGAAGCTGAGGGTGTGTTTGCATACAAATTCTTTCACTTCATACTCAAAATTTAAGTAACTTTTAACTCAATCTCACCATCCTCAATATTATCAATATAATTAAATAATACAAACCAATTTTTTTTACGCATCACATCAACTTTAATTCATTGTCCATCAACTCGCATAATTTTAACTAATCATGACTTCACATCATTTCTTTCTTACTTTTACTTTAAATCTACTTTAATTATTTTATTTTAAATACAAATTAAAATTTCACTAACAACTAACCATCCAACTTTTTCAAAATTCAATCGAAAAAACTCATTCTCAACGAATTTATTTGTAAACAAACACACACTCTTTTTGGGTTCTTTTTTATCAATAAAAGAATGCTCTGCTGATAGGGTGATTTATACGAAAAATAAGTAGACAAAAAAAAAAAAAAAAAAAAGTGGGTAGCCCAAAATCAAAAACCCGGATTCAGAAAATACGTTTTTCTAATTATTTTTTTTTATGAAAAACGTATTTAGGTTATACGTCCTTAAATTAAATTTGTTTAATTTTTTAGAAAAACATATTGCGAAAAATGTATATATACAATTTAATTTAAGAACGTATTCATGAAATACGTTTTACAAAAAACCCCAAATTTAAATTGGAAACCCTAAAGCCTAAATAAATCAATATTTGTTTTATAAAAAAAATCAATTTTCGTTTTATAACACGTATTTCATGAATACGGTTGCAAATATTAATTAATTAAATTAAGATAAAACGTATAAAAGAAATACGTTTTTCAAGAAAATGAAAAACATAAAACGTATAAAAGAAATACGTTTTTCATTATAAAAAAATATAAAACGGATACAAGAAATACGTTTTTTAGGAAAATAAAAAATGTAAACCGTATTTGCAAAATACGGTTTTTAACAAAATATAAGTAAAAAAATCGGGTCTCCTCCATTTCTGCGGAACTGAAAGTCACTGAAGCTGCGCGAGCGAAGGAAAAAAAAAATTCACTTCCTATCCATTATTCACCTCAAAATAAAAAAAAAAAGAAGCTTTTAACAATCAATCGATTCGGAGAAGAGGTTAGTTGTTATTTTAATGTAATGTAATTACATATTTGTTTTATATGTTTATGAATTTTGTAAGAAATATTTGTTGGTTTTGATGAGTATAGTTTAGAAAAGATTTATTGTTGATTTAATAGTTGTTTTAAATGATTATACATTGTTCTTGGATGACGGGATTCGTTGTATGTTGAGAATTTTTGCGAAAATTGGATAATTTGTATTGTATAGTTTGATTTTGAGAATTAGGGTTTTGGAGAGTTATTTTATAAAAAAATTGGTGATTTTTTTTTGTTATGTAGTATTAATTGAAAATATTTATCTTGATTTGAGTAAAATAATAATTGAATTTTTTGGGAAATTATGTGTTGTTGTAATTGGGAAGAATTGTTTTTTGCAACAGGTATAAATGGCGTCTACCGGACCATACTTTGTTAATGTGTATTGGAATGTTCCGAAGGACTTGTTATATGATTTTTCAGATTTTAAAAACTCTCCGGATGGTTCATTTAGCATTGGGGAGAAGCTATCATTTAAAGAATTGGTAGATATTCTTTATGAAAATTTTGGGTTTCATCGAGATGGTTGGATAATTGAGAAGATTAGTTTACTGAGTAGCGAACGCGATGGTTCGTGGAATATTGGAAACCTGAATACTAATAGTGCTGTTGATTGGATATATAATTTTTCTCCTTTCTCCTATGTGTATTTGCATTTAGAGTTGAAGCAGGTTACGCAGGCACCTACAGAGGTTACGCAGTTTGAGGATGTTGCCCCTTTTTACGGGAGAGTGGCTGATGTTGAGGGTACGTCTACTTCGCATGTTCGTAATTTTGGCGAAGGGACAAGCTCAACAGTTAGAGAATGCGATAATGAGGAAGAAAGTGATCATGATTTCATTCGCGGTGAAGACGATTTCACAGATGGTACCTCGGAAACGGAATCAGATAGATCAATAAACGAGGAGAGTGAACCAGAATTTATTGAAGAACACCCATTTCCTAGTACCGGTAAGCACGTGTATCGCGAGATGGGTGAGTGGGACCCGGCGTGTGTAGACCGGGATGAGTATGCCGTGCCAACCTGGAATGGGAATGTCGAGACTATCCGTTTAGGTACTGTTTTCCGGTCCAAGGGAGAAGCACACACGGGTATCATGAGGTGGAACGTTAGCAGGTTGAGGGAGGTTAAGACAACCTATTCGAATAAGAAATCATTCAAGGTGGTGTGCAAGTCTAACGAAGATGAACCTTGTCCGTGGAGCGCTCGGGTGACGCACTGCACACGAGTTCATGAACTATGGGAAGTAACGGAATGGACTGAGAGGTACAGTTGTCTGCAAGAAGTCGAAAAAAATGACCACAGAAATGTAACCGCCACAATGATCTCAAATCTTGTCATGACCAAGATTCAAAAGAAGCCCGACTACAGTGTTACCCTGATCCAGGAGGATGTTAAAAAATGTTGGAAAGTCGATGTGAGCTACAAGAAGGCATGGCACAGGAGGAAAAAGGCCATCGATAGTTTGTATGGCACTTGGGAATTGAACTTCGCCGAACTCCCTCAGTAAGAAAAAATTTATTAAAAATGTACGTGTTATATGTCACTATATTTATGTATTGACGATTACATTTTGTAACGTGCAGGTTTTTTGCGGCGCTTCAAAGAGCGAATCCCACTACGGT